CAAAACCAGGCTAGGCAACATGGTGGAAACCTGTCTCTATAAAGAATACAAAAACTGCCCAGGCATGGTTGTGTGTGCCTGTAGTCCCAGCTACTTGGGAGGCTGAGATGGGAGGATCACCTGAGCCCCGGGATGTTGAGCCTGTAGTGAGCCTTGATCTTGCCACTGCACTTCAGTCTGGGTGACAGAATGAGACCTGACTCAAAAAAAATAATAATTAATTAATTAAAAAATAAAAGAGGTCAGAAGGAGGTGGTTAGCACCCTTCTGCCATGTGAAGGCACAGAGAAGGCACCATCTACGATTAGTAGGCCCTCATCAGACACCAAATCTTCTGACGCCTTGAACTTGGATTTCCCAGCCTCCAGAACTGTGAGAAATAAATTTCTGTTGTTTATAAATTACCCGGTTTAAGATATTTTGTTGCAACAGCAGGAACAGGAGAAGACAGTTGCCCAGCATTGTGAATGTACTGGAAGCCACTGAACTGTACACTTTAAAATTATTGAAATGGTGAACGTTATGTGACTTTTACCTCAATTCAAAAAAGAAAAGAAGTATTGATACGTGCTACAAAATGGGCAGATCTTGAAAACATTATCCAAACTGAAAGAAGCCAGCTACAAAGGACCACATATTGTATAATTCCATTTTTGTGAAAAGTCCAGAATAGGCAAATCCACGGAGACAGAACATCGATTGGTAGCTGCCTAGTGCTGGGGTTGGGGGTAAGGAGCAGGAGAAGAGGTTTGAAGGAAAACAGTCCCTCCCTAGTGACTGTTAACGGGTACAGGCTTCTTTTTAGGGTGATAAAAATATTCTGAAATTGATTGTGCTGATCATTTCATAACGCTGGGTATGCTAAAAGCATAGAATTATATTCTTTAAATGGGTGAATTGTATGAGATGTGAATTCTATTTAAATATATTTGTTATAAAAAATTCTTGAGTGTGATAACAATGTTACCAGAAAGAGGTCCCAATCTAAACCCCAAGAGAGGGTTCTTGGACCTCACCCAAGAAAGAGTTCAGGGTGAGTTCATAAAGTGAAAGCAAGTTTATTAAGAAAGTAAAGGAATAAAAGAATGTCTATTCCATAGGTAGAGCAGCGGAATGGGCTGCTCAACTGATTATACTTATAGTTATTTCTTGATTATATGCTAAACGAGGGATAAATTATTCATGAGTTTTCCACGAAAGAGGCAGGCAATTCCCAGAAATGAGGATTCTTCCCCTTTTAGGACCATAGGGTAACTTCCAGATGTTGCCATGGCATTTGTAAACTGTCATGGCACTGTTGCCATGTCTTTTAGCATGCTAATGTATTATATTCACGTATAATGAGCAGCGAGATGACCAGAGGTCGCTTTTATCGCCATCTTGGTTTTGGTGGGTTTTGGCTGGCTTCTTTACTGCATCCTGTTTTATCAACAGGGTCTTTGTGACTTGTATCTTGTGCTGACCTGCTATGTCATCCTGTGACTAAGAATGCCTAACCTCCTTGGAATGCAGCCCAGTAGATCTCAGCTTTATTAATTAATTAATGTATTTATTTAGAGACAGAGTCTTGCTCTGTCACCCCAGGCAGTTTGATCCCAGGACAGGCTGGAGTGCAATGGCACGATCTCATCTCACTGCAACCTCCACCTCCCGGGTTCAAGCGATTCTCCTGCCTCGGCCTCCTGAGTAGCTGGGATTACAGGTGTGTAACACCATGCCTGGTTAATTTTTGTATTTTTAGTAGAGACAGGGTTTCACCATGTTAGTCAGGCTGGTCTCGAACTCCTGACCTCACGATCCACCTGCCTCAGTTTCCCAAAGTGTTGAGATTACAGGCCTGAGCCACCGCGCCCAGCCTGGTCTCAGCCTTATTTTACCTACCCCTTGTTCAAGATGGAATTGCTCTGGTTCAAATGCCTCTGACATATTTTCCCCCTCCCTTTTACAAGGGTCCCCTTAATCCTAAGGGTTATAGAGGGACAAAGATCAATCTTCTGTGACTTCTTCAGGCTGGATAGGGGAGATGATATTCCCGCCTAACTATTAGGGTCTCTTTTATTTAGGGTAGAGAGGAGTTCCGTCAGAAATCATCTGTATGGTGAGGGCTACTCATAACTCTGAGTTCTGACAAAAGGTAGTATCTGGAAGATTAATAAGTGTTCAATTTAAGAAACCATTGAGTAAGCTTATCCTGCATTCCTACACAAAGAGTACAATGGCAATGTATTCCACAACAGTAAAGCAAAATAAGTTAAATTATCCCAGGTAAAGTAAATTAAGAAGGTTTCCCATGAACCAGGCAACTGTTGGAACCAAGCTGACATAAGGTTGCTAGCTGATTCCAATACGTGCCCAGAAATAGAATATTGGTCTAGATTTTTACATTAGCCATCCCTCTTGTTTCTTCTTAGCTGTAGCCAGAGATCATTGGTTGGTTCACAGGAATAAGCAGGGTCAGTCTAAATTGTAGAAAAAAACTCAAAAACAACTGACGGGACTAGAACTTAATAACAAGTGTACCACAGTTCTTGAAACAATTTTTCTCTCTCCAGCTCTCGTTTTTACTAAAGATAAATCATTGTAAGACTGATTTGTTTGCAAAATAAGCATTAGTCTTATTATACTTGGCCTGATTATTTGTATAAAGTGCAACAAGAATAATTATTTGCCATGTAGACTCCTTTTTAAATTGACTTTGATGGAACTTTGCTCCATAAGGAATCTTGGATAAGACTTTTTTTTTTAAGTCAAGCCAAGCCATGGGTTATTCCTGTCAAATACCTGTATGAGTTGGGTAAATTTCTCTCCTCTTGAGGTCCAAATATAACTTGGGGCTCCTAGGCCTGTCAGAAAGTGACATTCTTTACTTACCACAGGTCAGGAACCCTGTACAGGGACTGTGTAGACAAGGTATAAAGCCAGTTTTCCCAAGGGGCTTTTATTGGCTCTATATGTCAATTTTGATTCCTTAAAGAAAAACATGCCATTCCAGTCAAAGCCTTGGTAAAATTACCAGTTTCTCCAATTGTGTCCTGTCACAAATGAAGACAGATGCTTACTGCACTTATGCAAATAACTATATTGCCATAAGTTAAAAATACTCACAAAGGGTTTCCAAATTCTGGATAAATAAGGTAGAGAGAAACGAATATGCCCCAACTTTTGTTTATAGGAGTATACTTCACTTAATTATCAAAGACTGTAAATAGGCCGGGCGCGGTGGCTCATGCCTGTAATCCCAACACTTTGGGAAGCTGAGGTGGAGAGATCACGTGAGGTCAGGAGTTTGAGATCAGCCTGGTCAACATGGCAAAAACCCGTCTCTACTAACAATATAAAAAATTATCTGGGTGTGGTGGTGTGCACCTGTAGTCCCAGCTACTTAGGAGTCTGATGCACAAGAATTGCTTGAACCCAGGAGGTGGAGGTCGTGAGCTGAAATTGCGCCACTGCACTCCAGCCTGGGCAACCGAGCGAGACTCTGTCTCAAAAAAAAAAAAAAAAAAAAAAAAATGAACATAGCTTAAAAGTTATCTTGCCTCTGAAAAACAAAACAAAAGATCAGCTACATTTTAAGCAAAAAGTCATAAAAGGATTATTTCAGTCTTCTGTTATTAGTTCAGTCCATGCAATTAACACCTGTTCTGCTTGATATTCATAAACATTTCAGCTATGACAGTCCTGAAAGTTTTTCCTCTATTCTAATGTCACAATCTCCAAAGTTATCAGAAACCTGCCTTTAAGAGCACCCATCAAGGCTGGGCGCGGTGGCTCACGCCTGTAATTCCAGCACTTTGGGAGGCCAATATGGGCGGATCACGAGGTCAGGAGATCAAGACCATCCTGGCTAACACGGTGAAACCCCGTCTCTACTAAAAATACAAAAATTAGCCAGGCGCGGTGGCGGGCACCTGTAGTCCCAGCTACTCGGGAGGCTGAGGCAGGAGAATGGCGTGAACCCGGGAGGCAGAGCTTGCAGTGAGTGGAGATCTCGCCACTGCACTCCAGCCTGGGCGACAGAGTGAGACTCCATCTCAAAAAAAAAAAAAAAAGGAACACCCATCAAAGACCTATAGCTGATTATAAACCACCTTTCGAAGAGGATTAAAACAAGACAACAATTGTCTGTGGATGACAAAAAGTCTTAGGACAGCCATTGTTAAAGTCACATTTGACTAGGAATTGTGGTTACTTCTATGGCTTTCAATGATTTTACATAACAATTATAACTATTAATAACATAGGCGCTTCCCATAATTTTGGAACACATACCAATAACATATTTATACAAATATAACCCAAAGAAAGCCAAACACCATTTCATATTTGATAATGTTTCCTGTATGACTTTTTGTGCGTGTGATTTTGGGTTATTTATTTTGTGCATCTGTGGCAATGAATGAGATCTCAGTGGTGGTGGATTTGACTGGTCTCTACAACTGTGTATGGCAAAAGAACTGGCAAAAGAAAATGACAACCAGATCCCAGCAAAGGGGTAGGGAGGGCCAAGAGAACTGAACATCTGGGCTGGCAGAGAAATCAAAGCCTAGGAATTAAGAGGTAAGAGTGTAGTGTAGGGGATATACCCCCATCTCTTTGCTCCTTCCCTTTTCCTTCCTCTCCCAGGGACCCAGGTCCTTGGGACTATACTGAATCTGTCTCTGAAGCTGAAAAACAAAAGGCTGAGGAGATAGTTGGCTCTAAGTGATCAGTTTCAAGCCAGCTTTGTCAGAAATCCTAGATCACAGGAGAAGGGTGGGAAGAAAGGATATGATTATTTCTTGTTCCATCTTCCATTAGAGGTGAGAATGACAAGGAACTCCCTTCTAACTCCTCTTGAGGACGTGAGGAGAGTTAGCAGGAGAAGGGCTGGGAGCCCTGAGGTCTCCTGTAGGACCTCGTATCCCACAGGCAAGGACTAAGAATTAGGATTAAATATTTTAGTGGGATAGCTCTAAACCAGTATTAGCAAGCACAGTCAGGGTGAGAATTCCTGGAATCTGACTGGGACCCTGGCAGTGAAAGCTGGGACTGTTGAAAACCCAATTTCGGTGTTTGCTACTCAAGTTGAGAGTGCACGGCCAAGATAACCAGATCCCAGGACAGGCAGTTTGACAGCGAGAACAAAAGGAAGAGGCTGGGACCAAGGTGCCTAGATCCCTGGAGAGAGAAGGGTGGGTATTGGGAGGAAAAATGAGAACTGGGGGAACTCAGGAGTCTGGGTTCTGAAATAGCAGCAAGTCAGAATTCCAGGATCTCTGTCTACCCTCCTCTTCCTCTTCCCTCTATCAGGCAGAAGAGAGAGAAGGAGGGTACTGGAGAAGAAGCCACATGGATACATTCAGGAAGGGTGGGGGAAAGAGGAATTTAGCGCTGCATTGGCCCTGCTGGGGGCTGGGAAGGGTCAGGAGGCCGGGAAGGCGTGGTGGGGGTCGGTCCCAGGGTTGCACGACGCCATCCTTTGCGGTGGCCACGTACACAGTGTGTATGACCACAGCCCTCTTCTTCTTCCTCATCACTTTCCGTGGAGCTGTCGCCAAAAGCCCGGGATTTTTCATAAATACAGCAGCATTTTGATGAGCGGCAGCGCATGCGCTCATTGTCCACAGTGTCACTTGTCCGTTCGACCTTTTTCTCTGGTTTCCGTTTCCGAAGTTTGATGGTAAAGCTGCGGTTCTCGGGCTCGGTTGTCACGGTAACCGTTGTCTCAGTGACGGTCTCGCTCAGCCCAGCCCCTGCCTCGGCCATGGCTAAGGCTCAGGAGAGGGAGGAGAGGAGGAAGGGGGATGAGACACCCTTCTCTTTTTATGCCTCAGGTCTAGGAGAAGCAGTATTGGATTCAGTGGTAGCCAGGATCCTCCACCTTTTCACCCCCTCCTCCTGGGCCTCCTCTTCTCCACCCCTGGGGATAACCTGACCAACTCCACTTCCGACTCTGCTTCTGGGTGATATTTTTATACAAATAAGTCAAATATGTCATTTTTGGACTTTAGGGGACCTAATATCTAAAACATTAAGTCAGAAAAAGATATAATTTATAATTTGATTTTGGAAAGTTGGTCAAATATCAAAGGTTTAAAATACTTGCTATTATAAAATAGAATTCTAGGTCACCCTAAGTTATTCATTTAGCCAAAAATAACTCAAAAATTTTTAAAAGGCATAAAACTTTACTTATTGATAGAGGGAAGACTTAGCTTTCCAAACGATCTATCTCGTCTTTCTTTTTCCTGTGGTTTATTCAAAAGGCAAACAAAAATCTTCATTATCCTTTAATATTACATACACATCTTGTTCATGGCCAAGCGTGGTGGCTCATACTTGTAATCCCAGCACTTTGGGAGGCTAAGGTGGGTGGATCATTAGAGGTCAGGAGTTTGAGACCAGCCTGACCAACATGGTGAAACCCCATCTCTACTAAAAATACAAAAAAAAAAAAAAAAAAAAAGAATAGCTGGGCGGAGTGGTGCGCACCTATAGTCCCAGCTACTCAGAAGGCGGAGGCAAGAGAATCGCTTAAACCAGGAGGTGGAGATTGCAGTGAGTTGAGATCACACCACTACACTACAGCCTGGGCGACAGAGACTCTGGCTCAAAAAAAAGAAAAAAGAAAAAAATAGAAAACCTTGTTGTGCTTTTATTCCAATGTTCAATTTATGGAAAAACTTTAATTTCAGCCAATATGTTTACACACAGAATGTTATATGTAAAATGTATGTAAAATGCTTGTTTTTTGGTACTATAAGGAAAAATTAGCATTTAGACAAAAAGTTTTTTTAGCAAGGTAATTTTACTTTTTGCAGAAAGGGTGCTTTTGGCAGATGGAAGAATGATGAGAGCACATCTGAACAAAGGAGGGAAGCAATGTTTTATTTTTTATTTTTTTGAGATGGAGTTTCGCTCTTCTTGCCCAGGCTGGAGTGCAATGGTGCAATCTCGGCTCACCGCAACCTCCGCCTCCTGGATTCAAGCGATTTTCCTGCCTCAGCCTCCCTAGTAGCTGGGATTACAGGTACGTGCCACCACGCCTGGCTAATTTTTTAAATAGAGACAGGGTTTCTCCATATTGGTCAGGCTGGTCTCGAACTCCCGACCTCAGGTGATCTGCCCACCCCGGCCTCCCAAAGTGCTGGGATTACAGGCATGAGCCACCGAGCTCGGCCAGCACTCTTTATTTTTTAAGCAGCTTGTTTTTGCTACTGTGTTTTGTCTTCATTGACTGGAGCTAGACCTTACAATTTAAACTAAAACCTGACTGGTTAATAATTTAAAACTTTTTAAAATAGGTAAAGGCAATAGAGAACAAAGGAAAAGAGGAAGTTGTTTGCAAAAGGACTTAGAAAAGTAATAATATTTTTAAATAAGGAAGAGGCATAAGCTGCAAGTTGGAACATGCCTGTGAGCACGTTTAGCATAAATGGTTTGGTTAAAGTACAAGTACATCGAATGTACTTTTTAAAAAATATTTAACAGCTACATAGAATAGGGCTTAACAAAGAGTTATTAACACAAAGCAAGGAGGCTTGAAAGAAGTTAGTTTTTAAAAGAAATATTCTTTCTAACACTTATGATTTATTTTTTAACAAGAAGAGAAACTTTGAAGAGGAAACTTTTTACTTTCTACGCAGAATTTCTTTTACAAGATTAATTTTTCACAAATCTTATGCAACTTGCTCAAACCTTCAGCTTTATCCTATCTAACTTAAAACAATCCTTTAACCCTATAAACTAGGCCAAAAAGAAAGCACTCACATTCCTAGGCCTTCTTATAATCTTTTACCAAAAACATATTTCACTTTTCTTTTTTTTTTTTTTTTGAAACAGAGTCTCACTCTGTTGCCAAGGCTGGAGTGTAATGGCGCGATCTTGGTTCACTGCAACTTCTGCCTCCCGGGTTCAAGCGATTCTCCTGCCTCAGCCTCCCCAGTAGCTGGGACTAAGCAGCACACCACCACACCCGACTAAATTTTGTATTTTTAGTAGAGACGTGGTTTTGCCATGTTGGCCAGGCTGGTCTCGAACTCCTGACCTCAGGTGATCCACTCGCCTCCGCCTCCCAAAGTGCTGGGATGACAGGCGTGAGGCACCAGGCCTGGCCTTACATTTCACTTTTCTTACACACCTTGCAAGTAGAAGTGTTTCTTCAGTAGTCTCAATTACATGTTACAATAATGTTAACTCTTAGCAACTTTTATTTTTGCTGAAAAATCTGGTGATTCTAATTATGTACCAGGAGTAGAACCTAAGACACCAGACAGAAACGCAGATGAGGTCTAACTCTTTCCAGCTGCAGGTCATGACTAACTCCACCTGTCCCCAGACTTTAATGACTTAAAAGCAGGTCAGTGGAAAGATTTTCGAAAGTCAAAGAAGCAGTTTATGACGTTAAAGCATTTAGCAAACCCTAATAGCTGGCCTGCCTAACTTAGACCAAATATCTAAATTTTGAAGACATTTTTATTTTACCAATAATCTTTAAAACTGTCTTTATTTCCCAAAGCTTACTAAAGTCACATGAACTGAAAAGCATTGCAGTTTTTATTTTTCTGACAAAATATTTAAGGGCTTATTGTTTTTAAACCAATTAATCAGAGCTTTCTTATATAAAATCACACACACAACACATAAAAATACACAGAAGATCGAGTAGTTGTAAGATTTTTCATTTGCCAGTTTTTAAGTTTCTTTTTAGAGCATGTAGTTTCTTTCTTTTAAAAAAATTATTTACATATTTTTGAGACAGGGTCTCACTCTGTCACTCAGACTAGAGTACAGTGGTGCAATATCAGTTCACTGCAACCTCTGCCTCCCAGGTTCAAGTGATTGTCATGTCTCAGTTTCCCAAGTAGTTGGGATTACAGGCATGCACCACCACATCTAGCTAATTTTTGTATTTTTAGTAGAGACAGGGTTTCGTCATGTTGGTCAGGCTGGTCTTGAACTCCTGGTCTCATGTGATCAACCCACCTCGGCCTCCTAAAGTGCTGGGATTACAGGCGTGAGCCACCACACCTAGCTAATTTCTAGGACCTAATAAGCCCATACAGCTGGAAGGCAAAACAGATTCCCCCCAAATTAAGGGTCTCATTTTTATACCAGATCCTGGATCCCCAAAAAGGAGGGAATCAGCCCATCTCCCAACGGAGTCTTATCTCTCAGTGGCAGTGGGGACATATCCATACCTTCTAGGCGGCCAAGAGCATACTTCTCTGATCCAAACATGTAAAGAGCTGAGAATCCTCCCTTAACTGCCATTAGCAATGCCCAAAAGTATATCCTCCACCTAGTTATTACACACCAAAGCTCTCTCATAATGTGAAGTAATTTCTGATACCACCCAAAGTAAGAAACGTCAGATAATACAATGCAAAACAGAACAGAGCCTTAGATTTCCAGAGGGATCAATCTATTCAGTTCTAATTCCTGGGGTTTCAGGAGGAAAATAGAGGTTTTTCCCAAAACAGTATCTGTGGCATCTCCTCCGTTCTTCCCAAGGAGTCACAGGCTGTTAGAAATTATCTCAGGTCCTTTTGGCCGGGCGCGGAGGCTCACGCCTGTAATCTCAGCACTTTGGGAGGCCGAGGCAGGCGGATCACAAGGTCAGGAGTTTGAGACCAACCTGGCCAACATGGTGAAACTCTGTCTCTATTTTAAAAAATAAAAAAATTAGCTGGGCATGGTGGCGGGCGCCTGTAATCCCAGCTACTCGGGAGGCTGAGATGGGAGAATCTCTTGAACCTCAGGAGGCGGAGGTTGCAGTGAGCCAAGATTGCACCATTGCACTCCAGCCTGGGTGACAGAGCAAGACTCTGTCTTAAAAAAAAAAAAAAAAAAAAAGAAAGAAATTATCTTAGGTCCTCTCATGTGGACAGGCAAGAAGACAAAATGGAGAAAAACAATTCAGTCAACTAAGGAGAAAACAATTTTTTTCTTTAGAAAAATAAGATCCAAAAGAGAAAAAAATATAAAGATCTTTTAAATATACTTATAACTTGAATATCTGCTTTTAACTAAGCTGATTTTAACCATAGCACTCTTTAAACAAGAAATCTTTTTAAATCTCTTATTACCCGATTGTAGCCTGGCCAAATGGCCAATATTTCTGGCTTTTGAACTTTACTAAAGGTAACCTCATAGCACCTCAGGTGCTCAGAGAAAGGAAGATTCAAGAAGGGAAGTTGGAAGTTGTTCATAGAGGGAAAGAGACTCAATGAATGGCAAAGGCCACATGACAGAAATAACTCATTTCCTAGGCCAAAAATTGAACCTGGGCCACCATGGTGAAAAGACAAAGCCTTAGCTACTGAGCTACACCAATGGGCAGTGTCCATTGCTGTTCCTAGAAGGAGCCTAGAGCAGTCAATTTTGAGCTTGCAATGGCTTTTAACTGCTCAAGATAATTTTTTTTTTTTTTTTTTTTTTTGAGATGAAGTCTCACTCTGTCGCCCAGGCTGGAGCGCAGTGGCTCAGTCTTGGCTCACTGCAACCTCTGCCTCTGGAGTTCAAGAGATTCTCCTGCCTCAGCCTCCCAAATAGCTGAGATTACAGGCACGTGCCACCATGCCCAGCTAATTTTTGTATTTTTAGTAGAGATGGGGTTTCGTCATGTTGGCCAGGCTAGTTGTGAACTCCTGACCTCAGGTGATAAACCCACCTCGGGCTCCCAAAGTGCTGGGATTACAGGCGTGAGCCACCACACCCAGCCTCAAGATAATTTTTAAGGCTAACTATGACATGAATCCCAAAACTCCTGTTCCCTGGATGGTGGAAACCAAGAGAAAGTACCGCCATGTGGTATAAGGTCAAGCTCCCAAAGACATCAAACAAGACCAGAGGGAAACCTTGATACGGTTTGACTCCATGTCCCTACCAAAATCTCATCTCAAATTGTAATCCCCACATGTCAAGGGAGGGACCTA